ATTGGAATGAATCATGTAATTCAGTATTTTCTTATTGGTTTGTAAAATTTTTTTTTCTTTAATTTCTAGTCCTTGAAGTATTTAATATTGAATACAGTGTATTTTAAATAATTGTAATTTCTAATAATTATAAGATGTTCAATTCAGAAATGCCCTGGTAAATTTGTCTGAAAGAAACCAGAAAAAGGCCAAGCCTGGTTAGACAAATGTAAAACGCTTTTCTCTAAAATGCTATATCCAAACCAGACATGCTGAAAGGAAATTGTGAGTACATTTAATAAACATTTTAGTTTATACAATAAACTGCACTTGTAAGATCTATTATTTACTGTGTGTATATAGATTAAATGTAGATTAGAAAAAGGGTTTTGAATTGATTTATTTATGTAATTAAAAATCTTCTGATTGATCTTTTAATCTTAATTTTTGAGTAAAATTGCTGTTCTTCATTTCCTGATCTATGTATGTATATTTATTTACACAGTATTACAGCAGTTACTGGAAGTGGGAGTTCCAATTATGTCCAAGATTCAGGTGTTTTCCATTACTGGAATATACAGGTGGGAAATCTTGGTTGATACCCCCCACCCCCACCCCACCCCCAAAACCCATGTGTGTAAAATATATGTTGTGTTAAGGAAATATTTTCTTTTTAAACATATTGAACTTTTGTGTTTTTTTTATTTTTCCCTGTTTTAAACAGAGTAAAATAATTTCAGGAATTTGTGTAAATGTCTGACAAGTAGATTTAGAAATTTTACTTGTACATTTTTGATTCAGTATCTTTGCTCCATTACCCATTGTTACCTGAATTACTTCTTGAATTTGTACTTATAATGTTGTAACATGTAACATGTCTGTTTTCTTTTAATTTTGCCATGCCACATTAGATTTGTAGTAATGTCCCTTTGTTTATAGAGCCGTGGTGTTATGGGCGCCGTTCACGCCCCAGCAGTGGCAACAGTGGTAGGCTAACTCAAGGTTGCCACAGATTTGCCAATTTTATTATCCCGACTGAGGCCAACAGGCCAACACTGTTATTGATAATTTAAGATTTGCACAACCTTGTGATAACAAAAACTGTTGCAACTTTTTGTTTCTTTATAATTCATCTTTTCAGGTTTAAGTTTTTGTAACATCAAACTTTAACTTTTAAAACAACACCATTTTTGATAACTTTATTCTGTTCCAATATTAAAAGTCAATATTTTTGTTGAGTATTTTTATTTCAGAGATAAATATTTACATTCAGGTTATTTTTTTATCAAATCCATTAGAAATCCACGACGTTCAAATCTCTATAACACATGCGAAACCTTGTCACCGCGCGTTAGAATACACAGTAGGAACTATATGCATTTTCAAATCTAGAAACACCAAAATGTACATTGTTTTGACACAATTAAGTAAAAAAAAATTTACCCTGTTAAATTATTGTAAAAATACAACAAATGTGCGTTTAAAATTAATTCGTCACTTTTTTCCTCGCAATGTTCCGTTTGCGTTATTTAACTTTGCAACGTCACAAACATCACAAACGGCTCTTACATCTATAAAGCACACCAGTTTTGAAGGGCGCTAAATTCACATTAAAGATTACCGAAATAAACAATTATGAAAAGGAAAAATTAGAGAATGTAAATATAAGCATTGAATTCATATTTTGGGATGTCTTCGGTCCTGAAACACACCTGGCCGTGCCTACAAATTATCATACCATGCTAACGCGCGGTATTCAATTTGTTGGCACGGCCAATGGTTATAGGACAAGACACCCCAAATTAATTCAATGCTTAAGTATTAAAATGATTAAGAATTCTTGATATATAACAGTTGTGATAGAAATCTTTTTCCTTAATAAAGTATAATGCTTTTCAATGTACACATTCTGATGTACCCATGTAAATTTGACACTTAAAACCCAATAGATATAAGAATAATTGTAGTGTTACAAGGCTAAATTTACTACTTTTCTTTCATTCTAAAGGTACAGACAGTGCTTTAAAAGGTCACTTTTAGGTATGGCCTTCACTTAAAGGTGATACACAATGACGTAACAGATCGGTTAGCTCAGCTCCTGAGGCAGTGTTCCTACTACCTCAAACAACAGCAGAAAGGGGTCGATTCCTCTATAGGTAAGGTCATTCCAAACTGAGTATTATTTTAAGGAAATGTGGAATTATGTGACTGTCTTATAAGCATACAAACATGTGTATTGTATATGAAATATAAATAATGTTGCATGCTTCAGTATACTTTGCTACACTTATACTTATAGGTGATGAACATCTGATTTCATTATTTTGTTTTTTAAAACTCACCGATCCTTTCTTTAAAAACTCAGACTATTTATTGGTTAATATACATGTATATTCAGTGATATATATATTGGTTGAGCTTGATGTAATAATATGTTCTCCATACTCAGAGTATCTCCACTCGGTCTATGGAGGTTTTGACTGGTTTGCTGCCACAATCTTCCTGATGTTTGGAGGTAACTTAGAGAAGTCCTGGAACTTCCTCCATAAGTTCTCCACCTTAGGCTGCTCTGGCTATCTCTGGATCCCCAGGCTTCACTGCTCTGTAAGTTTGCTGCAAGCTCATTGGTAGTCTAGTTTATAAATTCACGGTCTGACCATGAATTTTTAACTTTGAAGTCTTCAGAAGATTTATTAGTACACCTTATTATCTCAAACCCAATAGGAAAGTGAAAATACTGTATGGTATCTAATGATTTGAGAAAATCAGGTGTAAAACTTTTAAATAAATATAAGTGTTATAGACTTCCAAATAATTTCAACATATACATAGTATTCTCTTTATCAGTGTTCAAGATACCAAAGTTCAACTGTTTATTGCTTATGAGTTCATGACCCAGGGTAAAATTCAGAAAGAATGTGATTTTCAAAAGAAAATCCAGATGTAGTAGTTTCTGCACACCATTAGAATGTGCCATGAATCTGATCCAGTGTTACATTTTCAAAAGGTTAAGACTTTCTTGAAAATAATAATGAAGTGTGAAGGAAATGTCATTATCATTCAAGTCTACGCAAGTGAGTTAAGGCTAATTATGGATATTTCTATGCAAATAAGCTAATAAAAATTTATAAATTGTATATTTTGTGTACAGAGAAAGTTCAAATAAATTTTCTTATACATACTAAGTACCCACAGTTTATTAATGCAAGTGCAAATTATGACGTCATATTATGACGTCATTGTTCTCTCCCATTCAAGGTAATGAATCACATCAACAAAATCACGTCGGCGCAAGGGCATATCCTATCTAATTTAAAATAAACAATGTATAATATTAAGGAGAATGTTGTTAAAATTAATAAAATTGCTGCACAAATCCTATGCACTTTCTCAATCGATAAAAATTTTAGGAAACTTACACTGGACTGTGAATTTTTACCCTGTTTAAACTTAAAACTGCATGAATAGTAACTAAACAATTACAGTGCCGACATTTGTGCAGCAATATCTTAAATCCTTGGAATATCCTGCGTCTTTTTATACCTCAGTGTTTCAGTGTAAAACAAAGTAAGGTATGCCCTTGCGCCGAAGCGATTTTATTGATGTTTCTTATAAACTTGTGTAGTAGAGGTCGATGACGTCATAGTATGACGTCATAATGTGTACTGGCTATCGCATGTCGTGTGTACCAAGAATGTATTAGAAAGCAAGTCTAAGCATTTTCTGTGCAGTAGGTAGAGCAATTATGGAATTTAATTAGATATTTTGCATATAAACCTCCATATGTAGCCTTAACTCACTTGCGTACTGACAGAAGTAGAAAAGTTTTCCTATTTAAATATGCTAAATTGATCTCTCTGTATATGCCTCTGTTCTGAATATAGAATTATGCTTATGAACCAGTTGCTTCATTACTTTTTGTGATCTTTCAGGTTCACTTGCCCTCTGACCTGATGTGTAGTGGAATTTCCCCACTGTTTTCCAGCACAGGTCACAACATTGAACTAATTCTCCAGATAGAACTTCCTCTTGTAGCCTCCGCATTTAAAATGTCAGGATTTACTCCAGCTCAGGTACTGTACTTAGGGTGGTAGAAAGTTGAGACAAGACCTTCTGTTGGGTACCACCAAATTTGACTTCTTGACCTTGATCTTGGAGTTTGACCCACTTTTACAACAACAAATAAATACACAATTTAAACCTTGGATTGTACATGAGTCTTAAATAGATATTATTTTTACACATTTAGTTAACAATCCCAACAATACCCCCCCCCCCCCCCCCCCCAACATTCAGACAGATGTACGTTTTTTTCTTCAACATCATTTTACTGATATTTTTTGTCAGATCTGTTTTCATTGGCTGAAGCAGTGTTTTTGGAACTACCTGGACTGGAATGAGATTTGTCAGTATGTCTGTCTGTGTGTCGTGATGGGGATCGACTACCAGGTGTATCTGTGCTGTGCCATCCTCAAACACCTACAGAAAAACATCATGGAACACATGCAAACACAAGAGCTCATCATTTATCTCAAGGTACTTATTTCCTTATTTACAAAAAAATAATTTAGCCAAGAGAGGTTGTGTTTTGTCCATTATAATGAGATTGACATTTAATTTTCTCTAAAAACTGTACTTTTTTTTTATCATTATTATTTTTTATGCCCCCATAATTGAAGATTCGGGGGTATACAGCAAAACTCGGTTATAACGAAGTCGCTGGGACCTATGATATTGCTTCGCTATATCCGAAATTCGTTATAACCGTATAAGAAATTCATTAAATTTATATAGCTGTGCAAGATGACTTCGTCATATCTGTAAATTCGCAATATCTGTGTTCGTACTAAATGAGTTTTAGTGTATAGTTTTTGCCCTGTCAGTCCATCTGTCTGTCTGTTTATCTGTTTCTTTGCAAAATCTATTACCTTGCCCACAACTTCTGACTGGGTAGGACTAAAACTTTCATATTTCACAGGTTTATTCCTTGTGACAAGACCCTTTCTTTGAGTGCACCAAATTTGACCTCTTGACCTTGGAGTTTGACCCACTTTTACAAAAAAAATACAAAACTTAAATCTTGGCCATAACTTTTGAACAGTTTGTGCCAGGGTTTTCATACTTTACATGTATTCATTGTGACAAGACTTTTCATTTGGTATAAATATTTTTGACCATGACATTATACATGTAGTTTGACCCACTTCATAAAAAAAACTTTAACCTTGGCCATATCTTTTGAACACTTAGAACAAGGGCTTTCATATTTCACAAGTGTATTCCTTGCGAAAAGACCTGCATCTTTATTTTGAATTTTGACCTTTTGATCTTGACCTTGGAGTTTGACTTGCATTTGAGAAAATACAACCTTTGCCATAAGCTGCGGGTGCATCATTGTTTCATTTGTAAATGTAGTATTACCGTCAATGTCAAATTTTGCCATGATAGAGCTGAATTGCTTAGTTTTATATTCTTTTTTTTTTTTCAGGAGAATGCCATCACAGGATTCCACGCATCAAATTACATGACCTATATGATTGGATTGGAGAAAAAATACAGAGACACAATATTCAGGGACATGCTAAATATTACCAGACCATGACAAGACAATGCCAAATAAAAAAGACTTGTTGGCTTTAGTTGACAACTGAGACCTGAAAATGTGCTGTTTTCAGAAAGTGTTGATGAACTAGTACAATAAATTTTTGTAGAAACATCATCAAGTTGGCATATTGTTTATATCTCTGAGAACGTCTGCTTTAAAATTTGTTAATGATTTATATTAATTTATTACAATTTCCAAGTTAATTCCAATCAGAATTCCATTTTGTTCTCATTTTATGTCAGATTCATATTTTTTTAAGGTTATTATGCTAATGATTCATCTGGGGAGCATTTTGGTATACATGTATGTTCCACCATATAACATTATTTGTGATATTGATTGTGTTGTGATTGCCTATTTTATTTAGAAATCTGCAGCTTATTTTTACTTTTCACTCATTTCCGTCCATGTTTTTTATAAAATATTTTTTCTTAATAAAGATATTTTGATTACTGCTTGGTTTTTATGTAAGCAAAATTATATCACGTTCAGCAAGAAGGAATTTATGCCTCAAAACCAGTTTGTGGGTAAAAAGTTTTTGTTAGATGACAGTCACTCTAGTGTTCTGTGTTCTCTGTTTTGAGCTACTTGTCAGACATCAGAAAAAAACTTGCGCGATTGTAAGATATCTGTCTGTAAGCAATTTTTCAGAATGCTACTCCTCATACAGTTTGGTCTGATTTCAATATAACTTGGCACACGAACAGATTACACTAAGATACTAGTACATATTTCTGTTTATCAGTATTTGATTTACATAAATGGTGTAACCTTCTTTGGTTACTAAAACTAGATATTGTAGTGAAATACTTTCATAATATTACTACTATATTAGTTTGGGACACAACTTGGCACACAGGTAGACTACATTAAAATTCTTAATGCTCTTTATCAATTTTGATTTTGATGAATGGTGTAGCCATGCTGACTAAAAATTGAAATTTCTTGTAAAATGAAAGTGCATTAATTTTTCAAAAAACTTCTTTTTATCTAATCAAACAAATTTTATGTATTGTTTTGATGAGCAAGAGTTCGAAATTCAATACATAAATTAAAATGAGATCTATCAGTCGAAAACGAAAAATTTAAAAACAGCTGAAGGACACAAAAGGGTTACATTATCAACAAGAGGCCCAAGGGCCTTGAATCGCTCTTCTGATAAATTGTACAACCTATCACTTGTATTTGATTCCTCTAACCCTAAGTATCCTAAGACCCAAGTTGCATCAACTGACAAAGTTTGATGATTCTTAGCCAATTAGAACTGAAGATATTTAATAAAGCTATAAAAAACTATGAGTAGGTCACAGTGAACTACTTTAAGATTGAAGTTTACTGAGGACTCAAGATGCATTAATAGACAAACTAAGATTGAAGATTCTAAGCCAATAAATACCTGAGATATTCAAAAGTAGGTCACCTTGACCTACTTTTGGGTCTACATTCTTGGAAAACCCAAAATTCATCAACTGACAACGTCTGATTATTCTAAGCCAATAAATACTTAAGATACTTAAATATAGCCATAAAATGTGATTTGGGACCCCCAAGATGCATCTGCTGACTAAGTTTGATAATTCTAAGCCAATAAATACCTGAGATATTCAAAAGTAGATCACCGTGACCTTTTTTTGGTCGACATTCCTGAAAACCCCAGAGGCACCAACGATAAAGTTTGATGATTCTAAACTGATAAGTACCAGAGAATTTAAATAAAGCCATAAAATTTAAAAGTAGGTCACCGTGACCTACTTTTTGGACATTCTTCAAAAACCCAAAGATGCATCAAATGAGAAAGTTTGATGATTCTAAGCCAATAAGTACTGGCGATACTTATAGCCATAAAATGTAAAAAGAGGCATCGTGACCTACTTTTTGGGTTGACATTTTTCAGAGTCCCAAATGCATCAACTGACAAAGTTTGATGATTCTAAGCCAATAAGTACCGTTAAATATAGCCATAAAATGTCAAAAGTAGGTCACCGTGACTTTTTTTTGGTCGTCACTCTCCAAAAACCCATGATGCATCAACTCGCAAAGTTTGATGATTTGAAGCCAATTAATACCAAAGATATTTAAAATATAGCCATAAAATGTCAAAAGTAGGTCACGTGACCTACATTTTGGTCGACATTTTTCAGACCCCAAGATGCATCTGCTGACCAAGTTTGATGATCGTAGGTCTGAAGGTAATCAAAATATGCCTTTTAAACAATTTGAAAACGAATGCCTGAAAAACAAAAAGTAGGTCACAGTGACCTACTTTTTCATTAAAAAATTTTTTAAAAAGGGCCCCCAAAAGATGCAGCAACTTACAAGATTTGATGTTTAACCCTCTCAGTGTCTGAAATAATGGGATTAAATTTTTTAAAAAAGGATAAGTCATAAAGTTAAAAAAGGTAGGTACCTACTTTTAAGATAACTTTTCAAGGACCCAAGATGCATCAACTGACAAAGTTTGATGATCATAGGCCTTAAAATGTCCAAAATATGCCTTGAAATCAAGTTGAAAACAAATGCCCGAAAAATTTAAAAAAAGAAGTCACCGTGACCCACTTTTGAGTTAACATGATGTGAAGTCCTAAGATGCATCAACTTACAAGATTTGATGATCCTAGTCCTTATAGTAAGCAAAATATAAACATTTTTATTAATTGTAAATTTAGGTCAACTTTAAAGAGACCTTGAGACCACGCCCTTTCCCCAAAGGGGCATGCCTTGAACAATTTTTAATTTTCAACATATCCTGATCCTTGTATGTAAGTTTGGTGAAAATCTGCCTGGTGGTTCTGGAGAAGATTTTTTTTGCAACTAGTACTTTTGGTTTTGTTTTCCTGATTATCTCCCCTTGTTTTAGGGTCCCAATCCTTATTTTAGTATAAATAGTAGCCCTTGGGCCAAGGATCCCTGTGACAAATTCGACACTGATTGGGCCAAGGGGGTTTTGAGTTATGGCCCATATTCTAAAAAGTTAACGCACACCGCACAAATGGCCATAGCATTAAAACTCTTTGAGCCTTTGGCTCAGAAGAGCTAATTTAAATACAAAATAGGAAAAAGGTATCAATCCCCGATTTAAAAAGAAAAAAGGGGGGGGGGGGGGGTGGCATACCCCAAGTCCTGAGGAGATTTCATTGTATGTCTGCTCTCACACAATGACGATTACATTACGACGGCCTTTTGCTGAACTTTGGAAACATAAGTATCAATTTACATTATTGGGGATATGCCCCTTATTCTTTTTAATCAATTTATAACATGATATTAGATAAAGTATTCAAAGGTTAAGTATCTTTTAAACGAAATGCATGTTTACACGTACTAGTAAGTATTTTGTATCCAGACCATGAATACACAAGATAAAGAGATTATGGAGGACGATTTCTGTTGTGATAACTATGAAACGTTTCAGCTGGGGACTTAAAGTTGATGCATTCATTTTTTAATAAAAGAAGTAAATATATGAGCTGATGAGCATATTTTGAGATATATTGAAAATATGGTGGGAAACCAGATTTTTGGATATTTCATAGACAATGAATAAAAAATTTTTTTTATCTGAAAAAATATTATCTATAATTAAACTTTTCTTTATAATTTTTAGAAGACTCAAAGCGACAAAGTTTCAAAATGTGAATAGTTAGGAGGGGGAGGGGGGGGTATCAAATTTATTTTGCTGGATAAAATCGGGGAGTTGAAAAAATGAACGTCAGCACATCCTTAAACCTCAGTGGACCATGAACTGCCCATGCAGCTTTTATTCATTAATTTAAGTAATAACTGCAAAAAATCTACTGAGCCACATAACAAAAGCAAATATATTGATTTTTGAATAGAGGCCAACTTTTATTAATGCCAATTTCCTTCAGTAAAATTCAATTTTTTTTACCTATAATACTACATTTTCGTTATATCACAAAAAGTTGAAGGGGGGGGAGGGGCAACCAGCCTTTTAAACCCCCTAGCCCCTAATGCCACGCCCTGCAAATAAAAGACAATTTTTTAGGTCGATTTCTTTAAAAAAAATATTTAATTTTAGAATTGAAAGCATTATTATATTCCGGATTAATGCAAAAAAAAAATTCTTGCTTGGAGCTTTGGGGGTTGGGGGAAAAGAATAGGGTTTTATTTTTGGGAGTCTGTGAGACAGGACAAACAGATAATTTGTTGAGAAATAGTCCAATAATATATATTTGAACATAATTTTTTTTTAAAAATTATATCCAACTTTTTTTTATTATATTTATTTATTTTTGATTTAAAAGGAGGGGAATTCCTCCCCAAAGTCCTTCCCAATGCAAAATCAAGTAACCTTTTGACCAAGGCCCTCCTGGATACAATGGCCCACCCCACCAAGGGTACCCGGGGCCCCCAGTACCCAGGGCATCCTGGTTCTATGCCGATAACAGGCCAGCCACAGATGGGACAGCCATTTTGGGTACGTAAGCAATTTGACGTACATGTAATTATGCAAGATTTGAAGCAGAAATAATTTCTACTGGTGTGATAACCTTTCACATGTCTCCAGTACCACTGTCAGATGATATAGATAAATGAATCTTTTCATCTATTTTATTTGTAAAATTGAGTTGACATGAGAGACAAACATAACATTTTAAAAAGTTCACACAAACTGTTACTAGTATCTAAAACCTGAATTATGACCATTTCGATATAAATGATGGGGATTACACTTCAATGTCCCTTTTTTTTTTTCATTAAATTTCATGTAACACACGAGCAACACAACAGTGGTTGTTCAGCAACAGCAACCAGTAGCAACTCGTCCTAAAAAAAAATTGGAGACCGGCATTTGTGGGTTTCAGGAATGCTTCATGTATGATCTATTTCGAAATTTATTAAACTTTCTTCAAAATAGTAGATTCATCGAATGATGGAATCAACGAAATTCATGATGGTCATTTTGTTTAATTACCTATTATATATTTTGATAAAAGGTTGCGCAGTGACTTTTTACTGAATACCCCGGGATATACCACTTGTCCAGTAAACTTGGGGAGTGTGCTGTCTGCCCTGCGCTATGCCAGGATTCCAGTCCTTTGTCCCTCTAAGAACAAAACTAAGATCAAGAACAACTACCGTAAGCTTTTGTTTTCAATCACTTTGAAATCCAGTCATTTCAGTTCCAAATTTTTACGAAGGGGGGAGGGGGGTTATCAATCGAACCTTTTTGATTGGGGACAAATCAAAACAATGTCTAATTACTCAAATGCTAAGAAAAAGTGAATAATTATTAAGTAATGCATTATCTGTTAATTATCCAGGGCAGTATCTGTAATTGCTGTATGGTATTATGGTGTCAACTGTCACGTGAGCACGATC